CATGTGATCTGGACCCTGGGAGCTGGGATTGATGGTCACCCACCCTTCCATCCCTCCACACATCTTAAGAAATATATTATTTTTTAATAGACCTTTATTGGAGTATAATTATTTCACAACACTGTGTTAGTTTCTGTTGTACACCAAAGTGAATCAGCCATATGCATACATATGTCCCCATATCCCCTCCCTCTTGAGCCTCCCTCCCATCCTCCCCATCCTACCTCTCTAGGTCATCGCAAAGCACCAAGCTGATCTCCCTGTGCTATGCTGCTGCTTCCTACTAGCTGTCTATTTTACATTCAGTAGTGTATATGTCGATGCTACTCTCACTTCACCCTAGCTTCTCCCTGCCACCCATTTTCTTCAAGTCCATTCTCTATGTCTATGTCTTTATTCCTGCCCTGCAACTAGGTTCATCAGTATCATTTTTTAAAATATCTAATCATGAAGATCACTAAAATATTTCCTTTTAATTTTCACTTACATTTGGAATATAAAAAAAAAAAGTCAATCTCATTAGAAGCAGAGAGTAGAAAGTGATTACCAAGTGCAGGGAGTGGTACAAATAGGGAGAGGTTGGTAAAAAGATACAAACCTTCAGCTGTAAGATGAATAAGGTCTTAGAATCTAATGCATTACATGGTGGATATAGTTGTATAACTGAAGTTTGCTAAGAGAGTAAAACTTAAATGTTCTTGCACACACAAGAAAAATGGTGTTAACCTGATGGGGGAGAATCCTTTCACAATATCTATGTCTGTCAAATCATCATATTGTACACTTTAAATATCTTACAATTTTATTTGTCATTTATACCTAAAGGAAGCTGAAAAAATAAAAATTCCTGTGGTTGCAGAAATAAACTGTAATATATTACTATTTCACTCATATTTAAATAAAACCCAGAAAATTAAAAATAAAACCCAAACTGAAACAAAGCAAAAATTTTAAAATGGTGAACATCTTACATAATGAAATATGCATCTCAGCATTAACAGTTAAACAGAGAATGAACTGCTTTAATTTAAAAAAGTCCTACAAAAGAAAAATGTATAAATGATTTAAATCTAAAACTGCTGTTTGTTCAAAAAACGACAAATGTTATAATGATTGTCACCTCTGAAGAGCTAGATTCAGTGTCAGCGAAACTATTGCTGCCAAATCTTATTGGAAAACAAGATGCCACATTGTCACCTGGAGTTGCTTGTTCATATCTGGCCCTGAGGATGTCATTTCTGTCTCCGAATGGCATAGAGGTAGTCCCTCCAGGCCAGAGTCAAGACTCATTTGTAGGTGATATGTGCAGAAAACCACACCTGCCCCGACCACCTGCAAAGATGGCTGGAGAGTAGATGACTTAGGCAGGCCTTAGAAAGGACTTCAGAGAGGCCACAAAACCCTGTAGGACACATTCAACGGATGACTGCTGAGCACCATTGTTCCATTTGTACTACTGTATGAAAGTATCCCAAACTCGGTGGTTCAAAACAACTCTTTTTTCAAGCTCAAGGATTCCATGGGTCAGTAATTTAGGAAGGACTTGTCTAGATAGTTCTCCCCTGGGATTTCTCATGCAGTTGTGGTCAAGTATTGGGCTTGGGCTTTAGTATCTGAAGGATTGACAGGGCCAGACGTGGCTGCTAGTTGATACTATTGGTTGGTGCTCTCCTGGGACTGTCATATTTGTCTATACCTGGCCTCTCCATGTGGTTTGAGTGTCTAAACTTGGCCTCTCTATGTGGCTTGGCTTCCTCACAGAATGGGAGGCTCAGGGAAGCTGGACTACTTAGGCTCTAGCTCAGGACTCCAAAATCCAGTAAGCAAAGGAAACTGCATTGCCTTGGAAGCCATACAGCACTGCTTTTCTGGATTTCGTTGATTATGAGTTAAGCCACTAAGGCCAGTTCACATTCAAGGAGGAAGGACAAAGACCCCATCTCTTGGTGGGGGAGTTTTAAAGAATGTGTAGACATGTAAAGCCACTGCAACCAGTCTCAATGATAGCCCTCTCTATTGATTGGAAGCCTAGTTCTTGCTACCTGAAATGGAGACCTAATACTTTCTTATTTCTTTATTTAGTTATTTATTTTAAAAACTTGTTTCCAACTTTGTCAATAAGAGAGCCACACTGGCTGGAATGTTAACAACATTTCCAGGGATATAAATAGAGCTACTGATATACTTTTACAGCTTGTCAATGATCCTAGTCTTTTTTTTTTTTTTTGCGGTACGCGGGCCTCTCACTGCCGTGGCCTCTTCCGTTGCGGAGCACAGGCTCCGGACGCGCAGGCTCAGCGGCCGTGGCTCACGGGCCCAGCCGCTCCGCGGCATGTGGGATCCTCCCGGACTGGGGCACGAACCCGTGTCCCCTGCATCGGCAGGCGGACTCCCAACCACTGCGCCACCAGGGCAGCCCAGGTCCTAGTCTTTAAATGACATTTTGTGGATCTGGTCAGAGTGATAATTCTCTGGGGACAATTCCTTTCTAATATATTGATTGACACTAGTTTCAATGTGCATCTTCTTAACGTATCTCTTTTCTTTCCAAAGAGAATTCCAACTTGACCAGAGGGATTTCAATTAGTGATCAAGCTGGTGGTGGAAACAGAAAATTGCAGCACAAAGTGACTGAGGAGAAAGCGGGAGGAGGGTGGGAAAGTAATTGATGGGAGGCCAGATAGAATAATGAAGATGTAAAAGAGGAAAATCAGGATGGGAAATTGCTCAGGGCAGGTGGTTTGGCCTTTATGATAGCTTCTGCGTCCTATTTTCATATTTATAAAGCTTATAGATTTTGTGACTATGCAGCAATCTAAAATGTCATCAAAACTCCTAACATCTGCTCTTGTGAGACATACAGGATGAAATAACTAAGAATGATGTGGTCTGATAAAGTCACATCTATTCCTCAGCAATTCTATTCCCCACATATTAGTATTAATGCCTCCATTTGTGAAACGGAAGAGAAAATGACTCACAATGACTGAAATGCATCAAACAATAAGGAGAATTTTGTCTGCTGCTGAAACTAAGACAAAACAGGGTGGAACTGCAATCGTATCCTTCTCATATAGCTACGTCTTACCTGTGAGATCTGACATTGACAGCATTTTTCAAGTGGTAGGCTAAAAGTTACTACTAATGAAACCCCTCAGATCTGATCATCACCAAGTCTTTCTTCATTCTGCAAAGATTTATTTCCCTTTCTCAATGTCTTATTACATTGCTGCCATGCCAGTGGTTAACTCAACTCCTCCACTATCCAGCAAGTTAGCCTTAGTCCAAACTCACCCAGATTCAAAATGGTCATTTCCATTTACTCTCAGCATTCCTAAAGCATTGCAACAAATAAAAGGACGGCATTTTTTTCCCTCAGATATTCGCCAAATATCCTGAGAACTGAAATTGCTAATTCTGAATCCCCTAGCACCACAAATTCTCCTGACTGCAAAACTTTCTTAGAGATTTAACGGGTTCCTGCCCACGGAGAGACTGATAAAGTACTTTCAAACCTTTGAGAATGACGCGAAAGGGAGCTGGATGAAGGGGGGGGGGCATGGCTGGAAGTCGGCACCAGCGCACAGGCAGGATTGGCTGCAGACTGAGAGCAATTTTGGGTATAGAATTCACTGGAATACAATGTTCCAAGACCAACTGCAGCAAATTATACAGGTGGAAATATGACTGATGAAATACTGCTGGGAGGAGGGTGGGAAAGGGATGGTAAGGAGCCTCAGCTTCGATCACTTAGAAAAAGAAATACATTTTTGTCTCATTGTTTTCTACATTGCTTTATGTACCTGATTTGTTGGCCTCGTTTTCTAGCATACGTAATGTTTTTCAAATGTCCATATTCTCCAGTGTGGACCAGTTGCCTGAGGTAAGACAGAGAAGTCAGATCCCAGCAACACTTAAAAGTTGTAAGTTCAAGGCAAGTTCTTCAAATTGCAGAGTGTATCCCCTTCTCTAATAGGGGCACATTCTACAGTACTTGCCTCATGAGGCTATAGGAAATTTGTCTCTATTCACACAATGGTTACACTTGGTGGCTAGGGAACGGGTTTGGGGGATTGGCGGCTTCATTGCTTATATGGAGGGAACAAGAGAAGTATCATCAGCCTGTGGCCTTGTAGCACATGTAGGGCCCCCACGCATGTCATGAAGAGGTGGGTGGGAAGGGCTTAGTCTGAGAATCAACTTTCTCTAAGCTGCCTCTTTCCTATCAGCGTCTTTGCTCTCAACCCTTAAAGAAGCCCAGAATTTTACCCCCATCCTTACCCACCCCCACTGTAGACACCATGGGTGAAAATGTAAAATGTAGATGTCTCCTGACATCCAGGCCTCAGAGTAGAAGACAGCAGCTGCATGCAGGGGCAGGAACAAGTCAGGGAGGATGCTTTCCAGACCAGAGGCCATACATGGGAAGCAGGCTCCCTGGGTCCAGCTGATGGATCTGCACCGGAGCCCTGCACCAGCTGTGGCCCCCCTGCCAACAGAACTGGGGTGTGGCCTAGGCTTCTCGCACAGCTGAGAGGCTAGGCACTTGGCTTTCTTTCTGGCGGTATGAGCCGCTGTTTTTCCTTATGCTTAAACATTCCTATCACTAAAATTATGAAAATGTTCTACAAAAAAAATTCTGAAATTTTGCAGAAAAATTGATTTACTTCTTGGTCTTTGTGCCTAATTCTAGTTACCAGTGTATGTATATTCTCTGTAAATATTCTCACTTGAAGAGCTTTCAAATATGTATATATGTTTAATTTTTAAACTATAGCAAATACAGATTTTTCTATTTAGGAATTTTTTATTTTTGAAGAAAGCACTAGAGCAGTGTTTGTCACTTTTTCTTTTTCTGGGTAGCTCTCTGCTACCCAGTTCTACTGAAGTTTTATAGAGAATCCATATCTTGTAAACTGAACCTGTGATTTATGCTTCTGAATGAATAAAATACAACTAATGGAGTTACTTTCTTCTCAGGCAAAGTATGAAGAAACTGCAAGAAAGAGAGGTATACCTTTTATTTAAAGAAAGTTGTGAGAAAATTAGTTATAAGTGGTAGCCTTAATAACAAATTTAACACTACCTGCATCTATGGAATATGATTTGGAATTATGTAGCTTTCCCAAGCCTACCAGATCGAAGTGTATTAGAAAAAAATATGGTATTTTCCACCATATGTGGTCCATGTTGGCTATGTACAGCTCTGGATTTTTGTGGACCTAGGGAAGGGATGGACAGTTAAAAAATAAAGCAGACACTCAGTATTTGGGCCTGTGGAGAATCATGGGAAAGCAAAATACTTTTAATAGATTTGATTTTTAGAAGAACAAAAATAAGAATAGGAAAAGTACCATATGGTTAATTAAAATTAATGTCTAAGGCAAGGTGAAGAATGAGACATAAATGTGGAAGCAAGATTTAAGGCTTCTGGAAGAAAAAGAAATGCTTTGTTTCAGGGTTGGCTTGCTGCGTTTCCAGTCGGTCTGCAATTCATGAAGTGAAGTGTGGCTTAGTGTGATCTAGATAATATAACACGACTCCTATTTCCCTCGGTAACTTCCTCTTAACATTTATGATTTTATGCATTTCAGGCCCCTCACTGGGTTATAAGATTGGAATGTAACTGTTAATTTTAGTTCGATGTCTTTGTGAAATGCATTCGGCTATCCACACGACATTTCTTATTTCTTGTTCCTTCAGCTTGGTATACGCATAAAACACACCATAGTGGAATTGCCTGTTGAATGCCAGCACATTCATCTGTACCTGGGGAAGGAAAAAAAAAACATGGACCATCAACTCTTCTGGAACATACTACTTTAATGAAATAATATTAAGCTACAGACTGGTTTGTATTTGTGCAGTGCTTATCTGTATTTAAATAGACAATTTCTAAATTGTGTCAAAGAAAGAAAAGCAGTAGGAAATTCAGCAAGTCTAAAGGGAGAGCGTCACTCTGCAGAGAAAGGCAGACAACAGTAGTGTAAAAAGTAAGTTTGTAAAATCATAAGACAAGCTCCAAATCTCAGCAGCACTGCTAGCACCAAGATTCCTAGGAGGACTTTGGAGTGTGTGTGTGTGTGACTTTGTAGTGATATTTATTTGGCTTCTAGCTAGTAGGCTGGTCTCATTTAGATAAAGTATTTTTCCTTGGCCACAATTTTTTAAATTTTAAGGTGGTTTTTAGGCTATTGAACTCCCTTTCAGGGTAATGTCACAGGCCTCTGGAATTTGGACCAGGTGATATTATGAGTTTCCTTAGGATGCTCTGCAGCAACTTAACATACAGTTGAATAGTGTTTTTCTGCAGAAGGCAGATCAGTAAAAGAAAATTTTCAAAAAACATTTTTTTAACTGGGGTACAGTCTGAAATGGAACAATTCCTTTATTCTTTTCCATTTAGAAAAAAGGAGAAGAGGTACTGAGTCCCACATGTAATTCTGAAAACCTCAAGCAAAGCAGTCAGGAAGGGGAGGGCCCCTGCTCTTAGAAACCGTCACACATTTTTCCTGGCAAGGGCAGCTCCTTTAACAGCTGTCTTTGCAGCAGAAGGGCAATAGTGTGGAATTTTAAAACATCCCTAACATATGGGAATACTTGCATTGTTTTTACTTCTTTCTAGAGAATCATTGGAAAATGTCTAGAGTAGGACTTACAGGAAGACCCCCATACTGCTTTCTCAAGCCAGTTTAACCCTAAAGTGTGGGTGAATTTCAGGGTTCTCTGTTAGTTCCAATCAGACTGAGATGGAAGGACCAGTGGTTTTAGGGAAATGAATAAAGTACACTAGAAAAAAGTCTCCAGATTTGGGGGACTTTACCTGGCTACACTTCCCCAAAGTCCTCTTGTTGCACACTTCAGTAGCTCAGGAATTGGCTATAAATGGATCAAGTATTCTTTTGCCTTTTCAGGGAAAGAGAATAACCTAGACGGGATGGATTTCCATGCAAATAATTCCTAAGTGTTCTAATTGTGCGCAGGAGTGATAAATCCTTCTTGAAAAAGGGATGGATTCGAGTGGGATGCCCTTAACAGGGTGTGCCCCCTGGGGACAGTCAATATGTGATCATGAGAACATCCTAGCTTTGTTCCTCTAGATAATTACAGAATGGCTGCCTTACTTCCAGAGCTTTGCTATGTGCACATCTGTCTGGATATGACAATCCCACAAGAAGCCATCATATGTGAACCACAGTGCCTTGACTCTCCAAGGCAGAGATACTAACTAATACCCGTTCAAACTATGAATGTATATAATCAATTGGCCTGATCAACTGTAAAAAGAAAACTGTAAAAAGAAAACCCAACTAAAAAAAAAAAAAAAGAAATACTAAGACCCAGAGTATGAGAAAAAGAGTGCATAAGCTAGCAGCATTTCCATTTACATCATACCTCACGCTCATAAAACACATCCTCCAATGTCTTTCCCCCACTGCCATCACCTACAGCCTCAAACAAAGGCTTGTATACCTGAAAAACAAAGACAAGAAATTGTTTTTTTAACAAATTTTCATTTTTTATAAATATAAAAACAATATTTTTCCAGCAATATAGAAACTGTGCACCCATCTTAGAAAATCTATTCAGAAGGCCTCAACTTTTCTTGTAGGATCTTTGGCTTCTTGAGGAAATACGAAAAAATCCAAACAACGAGAGTACAGATGGCATTCCATCCTATTGGCTTGTTCAGGCCTACAAGGCAAGAGGCAAAAGCAGTTCTGCTTTCAGTGTACACTGAGCTGATTTCCACATTTGATTCTTAGGGCTAGTTAGACACATTATAGAGGCTAAAGGAGTGCTTGTGGTTTAATCAGTACGGCTTCATGGGTTCTTTGAGATGAAAGCTGATTAAAATTCATTATGGAATTTCAAGTGAGGAACGGGTGGAAACTGGGGAGAAACTCAAACTTTAATATTATGCTAAAGAACCTCTTGCAGTGACACAAGAGATGTCACAAAGGTTCGCGCATTGTCTGCTGGCTTATCTTTCCTGGAGGGTTTCGGAAATCCATAGGCAAAGATAAGAGGGGTGTCATTCCAGTTCTAGAAAAGCTACCTGGAGGGTCTGTATGTTACTGTCTGCAGGTCAGAAGGAACGGTACCAGGGGATGAGGTTATAACCTTGAGCTGAGAAGCTTCAGGCTCTCTAAGAGCAATTGGGTGCTGGAGTGGGAGAGGACATAGCAGCCCTCCTTTCTTTCCCGAATCCTGGACACTGAGCAAAGGGAGTGGTATAAACAGTATGTCCATATTTTCTGCTGTCCTTCAAGTAGACAGTCTGTACCTAACACTGTTTGCCCAATGGGCACTTGAAAGAATGACTGGGTCAGGCTCTTTTACATAACTCTGGCATGAGCTCACATTTCCAGAACACTGCACCAGTCCCTTGGGGAACTTGCTTTATCAAGCACTTCAAAAAAAAAAAGGACTCAAATGACCGTTCCTTGGAGATTTAAACAAGTACTTGCTTGGCAGGGACCTTAAAAAACACCAATAGCTTGGGTTAGAAACTCAGCGTATTTCTTTGGGGAGACATTACAGCAAGAGATACTGCTTTCTATTGCACAAACATTATAAATGTTTTAGATAGATAGGAAGCGTAAATGTGATATGTGGGCTTCTAAAGTACAGGTGATGAAATCACACAAGACATTTCGGGAACCCGGGATAAACACATACTCCATGGTCCGCTACTCTCTTCATTTGCTCGAAGTCCTCTGCTTGGGCCAGCAGGTGCAGTCCCTCGGGATAGAGCTTGCCACAGGTCGGGTAGAGGGTCTCGCGGTCCTCTTTGCTCAACTCGGTGCCAAAGGAGTTAAGAGTGATGATAAAAGCACGTCTGTCTGCCTCAAACTGAATTTGCAAGACATAAAATCAGTGAAATTGAGCCATCTACTAAACGCTCTAGACAAATTCATTTCCAAAATGATTTGCTTTCCTTTCCTGATCTATGTCTAATTATAATACAGACATGTGTTATTAATGTTCCCGTAGTCTCTTCCTGTAACGGAGTAACTCTGCTTGCCAGAGAAGGATCACACAGCAGTGACAACAGCCCAGGAGCCCAGGACCTCCCACTAAACTTCAGTTCCCAGGATCTCTGTTATTAGTTACTCATGTGTCTCTCTCACATAGGCCACTAGAGTGTCAAATGTGTCTTCCATAATAATTGGAATAAAACCTACTTGCTGGGGTCGATTCAGAGGTAGAACAAGGTAATGTAAATAGAAGGGCCTAGCAGAGTGTTTAGCACAAAATGTGCATGTCACGCATGTTAAACATCCCTTTCTGATTGTTGATGTCAGTAGGAATTTTTACGTAATGAAACTGTGCTACTTACAATTCGTTTGTACTTTCCCGGTTTTGTTTTTCTTCTTTAAAGTTCTAGGTTAGATATCAATAAATTTAAGTCTGTAGCTAAGGATTACAGGGCTCGGGACAAGTGGTCTTCCTCTCAGGGCCTCAGTTTCCTTATTTGTAAATGGTGGGGTTTGGCTACACGATCTCTCAAGTGGGTCACATGTACTCCCGGCCTGTCTTCTCTGTGTTGAGCACCACTAGGCACCCAAGTTCCCAGCCCGTCAGGCCTCTCTGTCTTATCTAACCACTGAGTCCTTCTTGAAATTGCCTTCTCTTCCTTTGGACTCCTCTTAGTTTTCCTTCTACCTACTCTGACCATTTCATCTCAGTCTGTCCTCCACGGGCACCTCCTCTGCCCACCATGGGAGTTTGCCATGATGGCCTTGGGCTAAGAAAGCCTTCTCCATCCACCCAAAGCAACCTGCACTTACCACATTATTTTGAAATCTGTGCATGTGTCTTTCACCCCACCACACTCTAAAATCTTTGAGAGATCATGTCTCTCTTGTTGATTGTTCATTTTTGAATATCCAGTGCCTGACACAGGAAGATCTTAACTGTTTACTAAATCCAATGGAATGGTCCACGATTCTACTATGGTTCTACTATTTTAAGAATTCTCTAATATTCTCTACAATGTTGCTATCCAAGGTGTGTTTCAAGGATTAGTAGCTTTGACATCACCTGGAAGCTCGTTAGAAGTTCAGAATCTTAGACCGTAGTCCAGACCTAGTAAACCAGAATCTGCATTTTGACAAGATTCCGAGCTTATTCACATGCACACGAAAGTTGAAATGAATTGCTCTACAATACTATTTTTTAACTAATTAATAACAAATCCAGACTTGCACCAGATTTTACTGGAACTCTTTTGTTAGAACAGGCGTTTCCTATCAGTACAGTGAGAGTTGGTTCCTTCTGATCCTTTTGATTGCTCTCATGGAAATTATGGGTGCGCCAGAAGCGAGGGGTGGGCTTATTTCGGAAGCAAAGGCAGCTGCCTCTGGCTACTGAATATATCCAGTCCTGTCAGTAATTTCAGACTTTCCAGGGATAAAAGAAGAAATGCAAGAGGGAGATTTCATGGCAATTAAAAAAACCTTGAAATAATAGGGCAGGGGGAGCAACAATGGAGTTAATTGTCCCAGATGACCTTCAACGTCCTTTCTAGTTCTAGAATGTTAGAATAATAAGGAGAGAAATAGGGCCAGGTAGGCAGCACTGCAGGTATGCAAGGCAGAGGAGGCAGCTGCATGGAGTAGAGCATGACATATTGGAGGAATGGCCATAGCTCAAACCCTGGGGAAGCAGCTGGAGAGGCAGGATGGACAGGTAGCTGGGAAGAGACTAGGAGAGGCTTCACAAGCCATGCCAAGAAGAGAGGACTTTGACTGACGCAGCTGGTTAACTGAACACGCCACACACTTTCCAACTTCTTGTCCTGGTTAATACTTGTTCCCTTTGCCTACAGAGCACATACTCCATCCCATGACTCTCCAGGTTGAAATCCTACCTGCATCTGAGTGCTCCATCAAATGCAATCTTTTTCATAAGAAGCCCTTCTCTTTCCTCTCTAATTAAATATGATTTCCTTTGACTCCTTATTATAGTTTAATTTCCCTTTTATTATAACTGTCTATCTACTTTACTACTTCTAGCCTAGGGGCTGTGTGTGTGTGTGTGTGTGTGTGTGTGTGTGTATGTGTATTCTCTTAGTGAAAAGAACTATAATTTTTGAATTGTAAAGGAGCTATTCTGTCTTTGACCATCCCTAAGCAGACAGTTTGCTATGACATCTGATTATGGAGGACAGTAGATGGGGTGGTACTAGTTTCCTGTAAGCCCTGTATCATTTTCAGAGGGCAGCCAGCCTGTGTGGTACAGTGTACGTCGGATGTCTTTCCTTTCACTCTACCCTTCAAACACTCACGCATTTTAAAACCATAACTTATTTTTTGTTGTTGCTGCAAAAGATAACCATGCAGTGTTGATGTATTCAAAACCATTATCCGTTGCTCATGATGGAGTTGGGCTCATCGAGTCAAAAATTCTGGCCAGTTCCTTACAGGAGGAAGGGTCTCCCTGGTGGGAGCCTTATTAGCATGTGTACTGACTGAGGGAGATGAAACAAGCATATTCTGTGCTTATTTTTCACTGCTTCGTTAACCTTACAGACTGTCAGAAGAGCAGGAATAAGAGGCAAACAGTATACTGCAGCACATTTGTCTGGACCATAGAAAATTTCTTTTTTAAAATATGAAGCTACAGTCTTGTGATTAGGTCACACTTTAACCTGCAAGCCTAGGTTAATGCCCTCTTCCACTGTATTCAGTCTTTTAAAGTCTCCTATCAAATGAGATCAAATGAGAATATGGAAGAACTTCAGAAACTCTAAGTGCTCTATAGCTGCACAAATAAAAGGGGAAGTAATTACATCATCTAGTGTATTTATATAAAACTGACAAGCCTCTTCCAATCATATCATTAGAAATGTTATAACTGCATAACATACATAACTGATATTTTTATATAAATGTACAAAGATAGTTAAATGGATTTTTATTTTTAACACAGCTTGAAAAAAATCTAATCTAATAAGGTAGTATCATGGGTATAGGAAAGGGACAAAGAGAACACAGGGTATATAGTATTTTGACCAAATCCTCCTGGTGATAAGCATTCTGCTAATACTGTGCTATCCTTTTTACATTTACAAAGACATAATTCTCATTTACTTCTGATTTTTGTAGCACGTGCAGTATGATCTTGCTTAAGAATTAGCACAGAAGAGCAGTTTTTATACAAAAGAACTGTGCAGGTGAATTTGATGTAGACATAATTTAACATAGATAAACATATAAGAACTGGAGCCAGACTACCTGTATTCAAATCCTGACACTAACACTTACTAGCTGTTTGACATCAGCCAACTTACTAGCCTTCTCTGTACCTCAGTTGTCCCTTCTGAAAATGAGGTACTAAACTACCCATCTCATTGTGCTATTTTGAAGTCCAAGTGAATTTGTGTATATAAAGCACTTAGGATAGTATCTGGTATATAATAAGTGTTAGCTATTAATAGTGCCATTGTATACCTCTGTAAGGTTATTATTATTTTTTCTTTTTTTATTGAATGAAAGATTCTTTAAATACTAAGTGCTTTACAATTTTGAAGTTTCACATTTCACATAATCCCAGAATAACCCTATTTTCCCCCTTACCCCTATATTACCCCTGCCCCCCTCCCTCTCCCCACTGGTAACCACTAGTTTGTTCTCTATATCTGTGAGTCTGCTTTTTGTTTGTTCGTTTGTTTTATTCACTGGTTTGTTCTATTTTTTAGATTCCACATGTAAGTGATATCATACAATATTTGTCTTTCTCTGTCTTATTTCACTTAGCATAATGCCCTCCAATTCCATCCATCTTGCTGCAAATGGCAAAATTTCATCCTTTTTTATGGCCAAGTAGTATTCCATTGTATATGTGTAACACATCTTCTTTACCCATTCATCTGTTGATGAACACTTAGGTTGCTTCCATACCTTGGCAATTGTAAGTAATACTGCTATGCACATTAGGGTGCATGTATCTTTTCAAATTAGTATTTTTGTTTCTTTTGGCTATATACCCAGTAGTGGAATTGCTGGCTTATATGGTAGTTCTATTTTCCATTTTTTGAGAAACCTCCATACTATTTTCCACAGTGGCTGCACAAATTTGCATTCCCAACAACAGTGTATCAGGGTTCCCTTTTCTCCACATCCTTGCCAACAATTGTTATTTGTATTCCTTTTGGTGATAGCCATTCTGACAGGTGTGATGGTTATTAATTTTAACATTAATCTTTTCCTACATATTTTGTAGGTATAAAATACATGAACCATTTCTAAACCACAGGAATTATGCCATGTACAAACTACATTTTTTTTTTTTTTTTTGCGGTACACGGGCCTCTCACTGTTGTGGCCTCTCCCGTTGCGGAGCACAGGCTCCGGACGCGCAGGCTCAATGGCCATGGCTCACGGGCCTAGCCGCTCCGTGGCATGTGGGATCATCCTGGACCGGGGCACGAACCCGTGTCCCCTGCATCGGCAGGCGGGCTCTCAACCACTGCGCCACCAGGGAAGCCCCAAACTACATTTTTGAGCCAGAGATAATGTGGCTTTTTATAGTGTGGCTAGTAGTTAAATGTATGAAAAGAAATGGAGGAGCTTCATAGAGTCACTAGGCTGCTTGTGTTATGTTATCAGCATGTCTGGAAGAGACTAACTCACTTTCTGACAATTAGCATGCCATGAAAAAAATGTTATTTATCGATGTGCACTGTCTGTATAATATAGATAAAGACAAAAAGTATTTTTTGGAGTTCTCCAAGGAGTTCTGACTTCAAGGACTGCTTTGACCTTAAAGTTCTAACAGTATCTTTAACTGTAAGATGTTAATAATTAGATATTTGAGGGGAGCTAATTTTATCAAATGCAGTTTCAGAACATTTGGTTGAAATATATGCAGATGAGGTTATTTCAGGTTTTTTTCTCTTCATACCCAAAGGGTAGTTCTTATCAGGCTTTTCTTGAAATCAGAAGTCACTGAACAGCTTAAATATCTACCCACCAGTGTAGAAGCCACTGTAACAGATAATCTAATGGTTAAAGATATTCTTTAGATAAAACTTTGTTTCACAGGGCAAAGCAAGAGCTTTTTAAGCCCAGAATGTTTGTTGTTTTTTTTTTTTAAAGATCCAAGTGAAATAGGAAGCCAGCAAGAGTGATCTATGTCAAATGCTCAGCAAACTACGCCCAGAATTTCCCTCAGACCATTCTGATCTCTGGCCTGAGTCCCTCATGCATGTGCAGATTGACATTGCAAGCAAGAGGTCCTGTGGGCACAGATGAATTCTGTGATGATAAAGATGAATTAAAGAGAATATAATTATTCTCTTTTAGAGAGGTTGGAACCAATGGTGGCATCTGACACATCGTGAAGTTTAAGTGGGCATGCCAACTGTGAATCACTACCCATAGAATCTTCTTGCCAAGAGCGGGGATGCTCAATGGTTGTTTGGGGCAACCTTTATTTTAGGATTTCTATAAGGAACCATGCCCACAGCAGACTTTGTTGCCAAGTTGTGGGGGTCCCCAGCTGCCCAATTTTGGGAGGGAAGTTGGTGATTATTATGAGTGCCTATAGTGCACCGATTGTCCAAAGCATACTAAATTTTTAACTAATTATAATCTGCTTTCTTCATACTACATCAAAGTGAATCATGATCAAACTTCTATCAAAAACATTCTTTTCTAATTCCAAAGTAACTCTTCTATGTAGAAAACTAAGAAAATACCTCTTTCAACTGAAGACATCAAATGATATATGTACAATAAAATATACTGCTATTTTATTTCTAAATAAAAGAACTTCTAAGATTTTAAAAATTGGTAGGATTATATAAATAAAAAGTGTATAAGCACATTATTTGACATAAAAAAATTCAAGGACTCTTTCTTACCTCAAGAATGGGGCACATAATTTCTGCTGTGACATCACCATGATTCTTACAGAATTTATAGAATGCCTCGATGTAAGACTTAAAAAGAAGAAAGATCATAAGGCAAGAAAATGAATATATTTTCCTTTTGGAAATTTCTAGATCAGCTTTCCATGGGTTATTAAACTCTTTAATGGAAATTGAATTACTTCTCCCCTAGGGAGATATTTTATAATAAATTTGGTGTGAACTTTCACCTTGAAGCACATTGCACAGCCTAAAAAAGGAACTCCATAAAAGAACAAAATTGTACTTATCATAGCTTATAATTACTCAACAAGCACTTTTTTGCATGCCTCTTGGATTATTTCTCACTGTTAATTCTTGCTATTCTAACAAGAGTGCCAAACTCTCTTATGAGCTCTGCAAATAAGTCTAGATTTGGTCCTATGCTGATATGTAATGTCTCCTTGTGCTCAGGAGGCACATTTGGGATGGCATTGAGTATGGAAGATACACTGGAAAGGCAGAGTCTAGGCTGTAGAGGCAGCCTGCGTTTGAATCCCAAATCTGTTACTTACTAACTAACTGACTTCTGCCAAGTAAATTTACCTCTCCGTGCTTCAGTTTTCTCATCTGAGGAGTGGGGATGGCACATAGTTTTGCTGGGTGGATTAAGTGATCTAATGCCTATAAATGCTTAAAACAGCGCCTTCCGTTAACTATATCGCAGGGATGCTTCCTCTAAGCCCATAAGTATTTATATGAAAAGGAAAACTGCTGCAATGCAATGCTTTTGAGAGGCCCACATGTTTCAGCATAAGAAGCTAGATATACAGCATGGCAATGTATACATATATGAATATATATATATATATTCATTCAGGTACTCTATGAGAGTGTCCAAAGATGCTGTAGTGGTGTGAGTGAAAATGGATATATTTTGCTCAGCCCTTATTACACAGAGTGACTCAAATGGCGGCAGAATAGTCCAGACAGACAGCTGGTCAGATTATACGAAGTGGTGCCTATGATGTTGTGTCCACAGATGGTCATCTTGGTACGCTGCACACTGTCACTAGATTAAAATTGTGTGGACAGATTAACTGTGAAATTCAGGGACTCTGGTAACAGGATTGAGGACAGAGCTGGACATACATAATACAAGGTTCACTATGTATGCTGGTTCTTTTGAAATGGATTCATATGGTTCACCACACTCATCTATCCACCTACCCATCATCCATCCATCCATCCATCCATCCATCCAATTGACACCTTTTATGTTCCAGGCACCATGTAAAGAGTTAAGGATACAGAGAAGCATGGGATCCTCTCAAGGATCTTGCTGGCTGGGAGAAGTTGACATACATGTATTTAAGCTAGAAGACAGGCCAGGACTAAAAGAGCTTTGTCCCCAGTATGCCTAGCTTCATAATTCAGCAGCTGGCTAACAGGCAAGTAACATTTAATAAAGAACTCTGGTTATGATGCATTATGTAATAAAGAAGAACACAATATTTGGGAAAACAGTTACCTTGTACAGTTTATTGCGCAGTATTTCAATATTCAGTTCGTCTAGAGTATTTTCAGACATACAGTCTTGAAAGAATGGAGCTGAAAGCAGAAATTATTGTACAAAATAAATTAATCAAAACATGATTATAAACTGCAGAAAATGTCTCCTGAACGCACCACCCTCTGCCCACCCCTAACTAGGACACTGTAGAGTGGCAATCCACAGACTCTGTGAGGCTAACTGTGATGGTGACAAGAAGGGTGATTACTTAGGAAGCATTTGCTCTGTGCAAGCTGTCACTAAACACTGGATATACTTGAACTTATTTAATCCTCACAACCTGGAACTACTCACTTTATGGTTTACTTTTTGAAGCCCCCCTGACACCCGCCTTTAGATAACAGTAATATTTACCATTTGCAACCTTACTATGTGCCAATCATTAAGTTGTATTAAAACCATCTTAGTTTTCAAAACTCTGTTATAGTAAGATATTATTGTTTTTAAAATGAGGAAACTGGAGTGAAATGAATTGTTCCAAGTCACCTGGTTGGTGGTGGGCAGAGCCTGTAATGCTTAGGGATATCTGCTTTCAGACTCACCCTTTTTCTGCCATGCTATGCTCCATTAGCACTGGACACTTAATAAAGATGTAATTTTTTTCTTTTTAAAATTTGTTTTAAACAGCAACTATTTTGATGAATGATCAACAGTGAATAACTATAATCCAGGTTTCCTGACAATAACTGTATAAAATTATCCAATTAGTATTGTAAATGCTACAACTGTTGTCAGTGCCAAATTATAATGAAATTATTACTTATTTCATCATTGCTTCAGGTCATTAGACAGACACTCCTGAGCATCTCAGAAAAATGGCATTCTTAAATTTCCTAAAACAAAATGTTTCCTATATGCAGCCTTATTAAGACAGAAATTTAAAATGAAAAGATAAGGAACTAAACATACAAAACCCAGCTAGAAAATTAATTTTTTGAAAAATTATAAGTTCTATTATTTATTTGCTATGGTCAGGAACAAAGTACAGGGGTTTGGAGGTTGGGAGATGAGCCCTAGCTCCTTCTCAGCTACAAATGGTTTGCATGTGATCTGGTATACTTCATTGTCTTGATCTGAAAAATGAGGGAGCTGGACCAGATGATTCTTTAATGTCCATTTCACTTCTAGGAATCTGTATAGTATGACACTATATTCATGGAGAAAACTGTGAATTGAAAGTGCATTTTCTAATACTGTGAAAACATACACAAGCAGCTGTGCAATTATTTATGCATTCATACCTAATGGTGTTTCAACCAGAATGGCATTAAAGAGATCAGAAGGTGTCTCTGCAATGTTGACTGCTTCCATTTCTGTGAAACGGCCCAACGGGTGGCACTTCACCAGAATTTCTTTCACAGATTTTTTTTGCAATGCACCGTTCATCAGTAGAATCACATTATCTATCATGTAACTGCACCTGGTGTAGAAGAGGGCTCAATCCTTAGGAAAACAGTTGCATGAGAATAAGAAGCATCCCTCAGGTAAAAAACAAAAAACAAAACAAAGCCCCCCCACACATTTCAGGCACACACGCTTTCGTTAAGGAAATATATATCTCCTTTTATTTTAAACTCTGGGTTTTGAGAGATGTAGGTGAGGTAAAATATCTGACTCTCAGAGGGTACCATAGTTTGAAAAACCATGTTCACAGTTATAACACCTGACTGGTGGGACCACACAGAAGATGACCCTTACACAGTAAATGCCAAATGTGGTGGGTGGGGCAGACAGTAGTGAGGGTGTTAAATTGTTTGGTTTCTCATAATGGACTATGGGCTTAAAAAGTTGAGAAGCACAGACCTAAAGGGTTTCATTATACTTCAAAAACTGACTATTTAAATCTTTGATGAAGCCCATTGTTGAGTATTCAAAGTTTTAAACATTTAAAAATAAATAAAAATATTTAGTAATTTTAATATTAAAATGTTTTATATATTAAAAATTAAAGTATTCTGGTTTTTTTTCCTCCTATGAGAGCAGATGGTCAACTTTCTAGCCCTTTCCCCTCCCAGAACCCCAAGAGCCCATAGGTTCACACTTTACGTGATTTCTCTATTCAATATAAGCTCTACCCAGGATATTCCAAGCAATGAGGTCAAGAAGTAAGAGAGACATAGTCGCTTCCTTCACAGAAAATACAGCTTAAGGGAGGCACTGGTACGCAGTGCAGCATACAGTCTGCATAAAGGAGATTACAGGGTGGTGTGGGGATTCAGAGCTGGGCACTAAACCAGTCTGGGATCAGAATTCCTAGGGAGTGACATTCAGGCTGCAACTTGCAGAATGAGTAGGAGCTGTCCAGGCAAAAGTGGTGGCTGGGAAAGAGTGCTTCCAGGCAGAAGGGAGAGCATGTGAAAAGCCCCAGAGACAAGAGGGCCAGGAACAAGGACGTTCTTTTGCCTGCTAAGCACTGGAGGTGGGGCCCAGTCTGAACATGCAGGGTCCTGAAAGACAAGATGAGGAATTTGGATTGAGGGCAATGGGAGATGCTGAACACATCAAGGACAGGGGGAATTATGATCTATGTAGATAGAATATGCATTAAGACAGGATAAGAAGTAAGCCAACACTTATATAGTAAAGTGCTTTACAAAAGTTATTTTATTTAATCATGATAATTACACTGTGATGATGATAGGTACTATTATTACCTCCGTTTTATAGATGAGGAACTGGCAGCCCAGACAGGTAAAAATCTCACCCATAACGACACAGCTAACAAATGAAGAGGGCTGAGAATCAAACTCAGACAGCCTGCTTCTGAAACTTTTCTCTTAATGCTCAGATTATGCTGTTTAGTTGTCAAGGATGACACATAGGTTTCTAGGTTTAACAGTTAGAAGCTGCAGCCATTTATTGAGATGAGAGCACTGGAGGAAGAACGGCTTGTAGTGGGAGCTCATTGGACCGAATGAGTTTAGATGCCCAGGAGGAGATGCCCAATAGGCCTCGGACGTCTAAGTCCTGAAGAGACAGCTGTGGACCAGAGACATTTAGGGAGCATGGGCAGGGGGTGCTAGTTTAAAGGTGGAAGCAGATATCTTGGGAATGCTTGAGACCACATTCTAGAGTGTATGTCAAGAGTTCTGTCCTGAGAACTCTGGGGAACCCCAACATTTAAGGACCTTGATAGAACCTGAGAAGGAATGACCAGATGGTAGGAAGAAAACCAGGGAAGAGAATTCTAGGAAGAGGTTAAAGGCCACAGGAGAGTCAGGGTAGACATTGAAGCAAGGTGTTCTCAGGATGCAGCCACTAAGAGGTCATCTGGCACCACAAAACATGTTCAGTGGAGTTTGCTTGTGGAAGGGAAAGGGGAGAAGCCAGAAACCTGACCACTGTGTGTTTAAAATGAGTGGGAAGTACAGAGGGTTTTGGTTTGTTTAATTGTTTTGTTTTTTAAAAGAGTTTAAACTATAAAGCAGGGGAAGGCAACTGTATGGAGACCCGGGGGCCAGAGGAGATTTGGACTTTCAGTTTGGGTGTTTTTTGGGGTTTCTTTTGTGTTTTTTAAGGTGGGAGAGAAGAGAACACATTTAAGAGCTGAGGGGAAAGAGGCGGGCAAGAGGCTGAGGTGGCGGCTCAGAAGACGGAAGGGACAGCGAAGCGATGAGACAAGGTCCTCCACGTTTGGCAGTGATGGGACTCAACCACTGCACAATTTAGGCTTGAAAAGAACACCTTTCACTGGATGAAAATGAACCTGGCCACTTAGAAGCCCTGTCACTGGAGTCTGGCGGCAAGGGTTACTGACTTCCTGTGCAAGAATGCATTTCCAGCAGGATAAGAATCTCCTGCGTTGCAATTGAGCTTCTGCAATGTACCCCAATAAAATTTTTACCTAAAGAAGTTTAGAAGAAGGCAATTATCCCTTTATAAAAAGCACATGACTATAAAGTTTCTTCACTCCCCCAAACAGCAGTACCAAATTTGGACATTATGGAATTTTAGAACCTTTTTTATCTCTTGAAAATGATATTAAAATGGAAGTGCTTATTTAACTGTCCCCTTATGGCTCAAAAGCTATTACCTGAGAGGGGAATTGCCAGCACTTAATAATCCTTAGCAGACTCCAGATGTTTAATTGTTCCCCCACAGCACCCCTGTAAGGTAACAGCATATGAGCCGCCAACATTCCCAATGTGCAGAGGACTGTGAGACCAACGCTGACAGGGGCAACCAAAGTCAATGCTGTGAGAATTTAGCCCACACGTAACACTCAAGCCTATGCCTGTACAGTGTGTGTGGGGATGTGCACATGTGTATGTGTGCACATGTGTGTCTGGAGTGCTTTATTTTTTTTTAAGTTAATAGAGAGGCTAGGCCCTCTATTGCAAAGAGAAAGGGCTATGGAGATTGAATTGTTTTATTTCAACTCATTTAAGTGGCCTTGTTTCTAAGATGGGACAACAGTAGCAGTTCTCATAGTTTTGTTCAGAAAATGAAATGAGACTCAGGATTTGGCCCATGTCAGGGGAGAGGGGTATCTTTCCTGTCCCTCCCTCATCTCTGTCACATAGGCACCAGGTATATAATTATTATTGGCTGTTTGGGATGGCGGGGGGATAATGTGCCCAGAAGACAGCTTGCTCTTTCCAGAGTATAATCTTGATAGAACTCTAGGGCCCTGCCTCCAGTGGTTAGGAAAGAAATCTCTACTGGCGTTGCTTGAGTAATGTTTGAGTTTAAAGACATCTGGGTGCTCACCTAGCTCAAACTCCTCATGTTTTAAATAACTGTGCTTATTAGTAGCAACAGAGCCAAAACTAGTGCCCACTCTATTGGGTTAATTTTTCTCCCACTCATGGTCTAGACAAACATCTTCACTTCTAGCCCTTTCTAAATATTTTCTTCTGTAACTTTGATATTGGCACCTGTGAAAATCATGAAGTCACCTTAAATTGTAAGAGTAAATGACTCTATTTCAAAAATTTTAGGTTGTAAAAATAATAATTTTTAAAAATGCCAATGCTTCTTGAGGTTGTTGCTATGTGCCAGGCATTACATGCATTACGCTACATTACATTACATACATGCAGTACCTTATATGCATTACATGCATGTTCCCATTCAAGCCTCCCCACAAGTCAGTGCTCTAAGGACCATTATTACCACCACTTTACACATAAGAAACTGAGGCGGGCTTCCCTGGTGGCGCAGTGGTTGAGAGTCCGCCTGCCGATGCTAGGGGACGCGGGTTCGTGCCCTGGTCTGGGAAGATCCCACATGCCGCGGAGCAGCTGGGTCCGTGAGCCATGGCCGCTGAGCCTGCGCGTCTGGAGCCTGTGCTCCGCAACGGGAGAGGCCACAACAGTGAGAGGCCCGCATACCGCAAAAACAAAAACAAACAAAAAAAAAACCTTTTATTATAAGTTTAAATACTGCAAAAATATTTCTGGTATATTGTGAATATCAGTATTTAAAATGAACCTGTTAAATCAGTCAAATTAAATTATCCAATGAAGTATCTGAATACCCACTTGCTAAAGACAGATTTTCGTCCCCCTAAAATTCATGGTGAAGCCCTAACCCCCAATGTGATGGTATATGGAGATGGGGCCTTTGGGGCTATTAATTAGGTTTAAGTGAGGCCATGAGCGTGGGACCTACATGATGGGATTAGTGTCCTTATAGGAATAGACACCAGAGAGCTTGTTCTCTCTCCCTCTGCTACGTGAGGACATAATGAGAAGGCAGTTGTCTACACGTGAGGAAGAGAGCCTTCCCTGGGGAACCAAATTGGATGGCACCCTGATTTTGGACTTCCATGCCTCCAAAACTGTAAGAAATCAATTCCTGTTGTTCAAGTCACCCAGTCTATACCATTTTGTTACAGAAACCCAAGCTCACTAAGACACTACCACTATTCAATTACAAATACATAAACAGAAGGAAATTATGTTGTTCCTTATTTTTTTTTTTCTGGAAATGTTATTTCTATTCCAATTCTCTGATGAAATTTTACCCTAATATGGCATTTATTTCTTTATATTGAAAGTCTTTTATGGCTCTTTATAACTCTATGTACATATAATTGAATATTAATTTTTCATTTCCTGTGATCACAGGCTTCAAATGTTAGAAGAAATTTTATCAGTTATTATTATGATTACTACTATGTGGGCACACCAGCATGGCATAAATTTTTAAAGCTTTTTATCTTGAAATAATTAGGTTGACAGGAAGTTGCAAAAATAATACAGAGAGGTCCTATGTACTCTTCACCCAGTTTCCACCAGGGGTTACATCTATATAGCTGTAGTGAAACATTAGAATTAGACAAGTGACACTGGTACTCTGTGTGTGTGTAGTTCTGTGTTAGTTTATCCCATGTGCCTATTTGTGTAACCACCACCACAGTCAAGGTAAGGAACTATTGTATCATCCAAAGATCTCCAATGTGCTACCCCCTTCACG